TGCGAACTCTCGGCGAGAAGGCAAAGTCATTACTCTGTAGGATGAATAGTCAGTGCTTTTCTCTGGCTCAACCGGCGCTGCCATAATTTTGTCATCATCGTCATTTCTAATGAGAACCACTATGCTTTGCGCGATATTTATTGTACAGCCGAAGAGGAAGCAAGGAGAAAACGATAGAGGTGAGAAGAAGAAAACGATGAGAGGAAGGGAAATAAAGAAGAGGAAGCTGAAGACGAAGGAAGGGATCTGGAACATGAAGAGTAAGAAGATGGAACGGTAAAGAACAAAAAGAGGGGGAGGAAGTGGAAGAAGTTAAGCAATGTAACAGGCAGATTCGTTGAGCTGGTCACCGTTCGTAAACGGGTGGTTCAGAGGACAGAATCTCGGTAGAGTTGCTACTAACAGGCTGCTAGAGACGGACTTGCTTGCGATGAGAAACATGATCTTTGCTCCAGCAACAAACATCGCCTAAATCATTCTGAGAAGCAAAAGTCACAAATTATAAATCTGAGTTCTCTGTCCTTTACCCAGATATCCCAGATGACGATAATAACAGTGCATTGAACTGTAAGTCATGATTATTCTAGCAGATACTTGAGATCAGGTGAGATTTCGCAACCATTGAGGGCGCAGGTAATTTGCGGCGACATTTGAGCAACCCGACATTTAAATGGCACCTCAGTGAGTCAAGAAGTAGAACAAATTTTAAATATGCTTATAAGTACTTGGCCCCGCGGGTTGATTCTTGCGTAAATTCTAATTCTACTGAAAATACACGTGATGTAAAAGTTGCAGCACAGGACCAAGGCATATTGTTTGCATTTGAGAAAGGCTGGTAATGTCAGCCGAAATCTTCTTGAGTCGTTTCTTACCTCAAGTTTGAAGTAGTTCATCGCGAATAGTTCGTCTTTGCTAATCTTGTTCTTTAGTGACAAGATTTTGCGATATTCAGCTGTAAAACAATATTATGTAATTGTCTTGATTGTTTCTCAATGCAGATGACTTTGAACGTTACATGAGATACTCCTTAGATATTTTATTCCGAAGATAAGGACAAAGGTGCAAGGATGAGTGTTGTATAAGCAACACTAGTATCTTTGTGCTGTGAAAAGTTTGACTTTTGAACCGAAAGTCGAAACGTCTGAATAAAATATCGAAGGAGTGGCGTATGCCACGCTCA